GAATATCCTCTTCAAACACTTTCAACTCAAACACAGCATTTAACATAAGCAGAATATCCTCTTCAAACACTTTCAACTCAAACACAGCATTTAACATAAGCAGAATATCCTCTTCAAACACTTTCAACTCAAACACAGCATTTAACATAAGCAGAATATCCTCCTCAAACACTTTCAACTCAAACACAGCTCGTCGAGAAGGAAAAAAGAACGAGTGCTCATTAGCGTTCGGAAAACAAGACCGTAACGGAAGTTTATTTATATTTCATTAGAGCCAATTTATTTGAAGCTTTCAGTACAAACCAAGAACGTTTGTAGCACGGCCAAGAAATACACATTTTAGAGAGAAAATGTTTGTTGGAGATACTCCGAGCCTTCGAGGCCATATTCCCTGCACGTGTCAGGAGATATTTATTCTGAATACCAAAACTAGTAAGAGAGAAATGAAATGAAAAGCCTTTAATTTGATATACAAAATTACTGATATGTTTAATCTACAATGAGCTTCCAAATTTGGTATAAAAATAAGCAGTGAGCTACCAATTTTGGTATAAAAATAAACAGATTAATTAACTAAAATCAGAAAGGGTCTTCAGTAAAGATTAAGTGCCCACTAAACTGCATATTTATTATCTAAGGAAACGCTTCCTCATATATTTAAAAGAAAAATGAGAACGCATTAGTTCCCAACACGAGTAACACTCAGAAAAATTAATGAATTGCAGTCCAAATAGTGACACTTCCTGAGATGCAGTTATGCCGGGCCAAACAAGGTCATGTTGAACCACACAATGGGGCAAAAATCGAATCGCAATTAGGACAAAATCAGACACATTTCTCGAAGTGTATAGCTTGTTAAGCATTAATTACCCACGCAACGACGCTATAGACAAAATGCTTCGTTTAATCGCAGCTCCGGGACAAAAGGAAAATACTTGATGACGAAATCACTTTTCCCATCAAGTCGATGTAGGCTTCAAACAAAGAATGCGAATTTCGCTCTAAAGCAGAGGCGATCCTGAACGACCTACCATCTGATACCGAGTGCAGGTTCGAGATTTGAGGATTCGATGTAATTAAAAAAATGCATTTCGGGAAACTCTAATCGGAGTTGAATTACACGAGATCTCGTAAGAATAACAGGCTGAAGAGTAACATACATCTACGACTTAATTGATTTTGATGAGGTTAACTAAGATGAAACTACTTAAACATCACGAGAAATATCACACATAAATCAACTAATTATTAAATCAGTGAGCAATTAAGGATAATGATAAGGAACACAAACTTTTTTTAGCGGCTGACATTTCAAATTAGTAGAGCTTCCCAATCAAAGGTTGTTGCTGACGAACTCACAGAATAGAATTCTGCATCCACTCTTTTAAACCAAATCTTATTTCAACAATATTCTGTCGAGATTAGTAAAAATTGCTGAAAATGGAATTGTTATACAAGCTTCATTGAATCCTGTCAGTGCGTATGCAGGCGATTTTATTTACTACAACTTTAGTTATAGGAAAGAGAGAGAAATCTAGATAAGTATAAAAAATAAGTTTCAGCGCACTATTACTTCAGTGATATTCAAATATTACTTACATAGCTTTTGGTAATTAATACCTAGATTTATTTTAACCAAAAATACATAAGACAAATCACAAACCCGCTTCGATACCACACACTTTGTACGTCAATATTAAAACACATATTATCAACAAAATTCCGCATATTGAAACAAATACGAGACAATAATATCGAAAGCAAATAAAACAGCGGAGTTCCCTTCAAACAGTTTCATTTTTAAGGACGAATCTCGCATTGACAAAACTCCAGCACCGCCTGAAGGCTCGTTGAAAATATAGCAAAGTCAGCATAAGTTTTGGGAGCAGCAAGCTGCGCCGATCCCTGCCTTTCTTCTCGCATATTTGAGAATACGTGACAAATTTCCAGCAAGGCTTTTGCTTGAGTAAACAATTCCTGAAGAATGCCAAGTGGTCGAGCTTTTGTCGCAGATATTAGAATGAGTGGCGATATTGCTAGCGGCGGCGTTCGAGATAATACTGGGGTATTCCTACGAAGGATGAAGTGTATATTATTCCTACGGAGGAAGGAGTGTGTCTATAAATACTATAGTATTCTTAAGGAGGAGAGAGTGTATCGTAAATACTGTGTTATTGCTGAGGATGGAGTGTACGTATCGTAAATACTGCGGTATTCCTACAGAGGAGGGAGTATATCTAAATACTGTGTTATTCCTACGAAGGAGGTATGTTTTGTAAGGTGCACATGTTACCAGAAAAATCATGTATTCAAAATATCTGTACCGGAAAAAAAAGAGCTCAAAATTTGACTTGAGAATCCGCGACTTTCGTTTGAGCGCAGATCTCATGTCAACGACAATTTTGTGTCCTTTTAATTTTCAAAACATTTTCTATTTTACCTTGGACTGAACAATATGTTAAAGGCGACTAAAGTTCATACGTTGACGAAAAATGAGTCAAAACTGGCTGGACATTAAAAAATTTGCCCGTTTTTAAAGAATATTTCTGTATTTCTAACTTCCCCCTGAAGGTACTGAGGACGATATTTGTATCATGCAGTCAGCCGATATTTGTATTGAACAGCAAAATACAGACACATACATAAAAAAATACTTGCCAGCTACGCGTTCATACCCTATGGAAATGATCAATCCTAATTTCGTAGATGCGTTCACTTCCTGCCCTAAATAATTTGAATGCATACCGACTACGCAATATGTGTCGCCTAGGACTCGGGGAGCATGTAAATCAGCCGCTAATGTCCGCTGCGGCCGGGCTTGAACGGCAGCCTCTGGGCAGCTTGCAAGCTCGATATGACTCGGCCAGACCAAAACTTATCATTCTCTCAGGTGGCTAAAAAATTGGAACTTTATTCAGACCAGACGCTTTTCATCCTACGATCGGGTGGCCAAGTTGAACCAAAATAACTCTAACTCGAGTGTAATGACTCCTGGGTCATTACAATGACTCCTGGGTCATCGAGTGTAATGACTCTTCGTTACTGAACGTAAGTATGTGCTTAGTACGCTCTATTTTCTTGTCTATGATTGGTGGATTTTGCTTGAAAGGCCGTCAATGATTGGCTGATGAACTTACGATCTCTTAACTTAACAACCTGGGCGTCACCTGATTTATGTTTGGATGTGCATATAAAACTCTCTCTTTCCAAGTGGCGGAAGACCAGAGGTATCGGATGAACGAAGTGGAGAAATTGATTTTGTACTTTTGTGGTGCGCAAATATTTATAGTTGAGCGTAATTTTAGAGATCAATAGAATTTAATATTGAATTGAATATTGCATAATATTATACAATATTCAATGATTGAGATTCTTCCTGCAGTAAAGCCCAGATCGATCGAACATTATTCAAAAGATTATATAATATTGACTATGGAACTAAGATAGGAGAGGATAACATAGGTACCTATGATAATAACATAGGTAATGGAAGATTCAATAATATAAAATATGGAACTAAGATAAGATATAATACCATTGGTATGGTAATAACATAGGTAATGGTTGCAGGTACACACCTTGGAGAAGACAGGCGGCCGCGGTAGTTGGTTGTTGGAGGCAGCAGCAACACCAGCTTTGGCAGCGTTGGGAGCAGGTAGGCTCGTGTACACATGTACTGGAGGATGTTGGCGCCCCTCCATGGTCTGCAGCAGCAGTAGCAGCAGCAGCAGCAGCAGTAGGCGAGGCTACAGCAGCTTTTGGTGAAGTCTGTCGACCCATCTAGCTGCGGCTACTGCAATACTGCTGCCGATGCTGCCGCTGCTGCTGCTGCTGCTGCAGAGGCTCTCCGTATATAAGCGGGCACACGCACAAGCCGAGGAGCAGTTGCCACTCCCAGGGTCTACGGGTGCAGTTGCTGCTGCTCCCTCTCCCGACCTCAGCCACCGCACATCCCGACCTCCATCGCTGACCAAACAATACAGAAATATATTTATCATATGGAAGTAGCATATATAAATTATACGTAAATTTATTGAAAAATGGGCAAGCTCAAACAAAACTAAAACTTTAATTCGTACAGGTCGAGTGGTTGAGATCACAAAGTTATGAGCAGCGAGTTGAGCGTTCGAAACTCGCAACTAGTTGTGAAAATTCTTGTCTAAATCGGTAATGTGCACGAGGGACTAAGAATCTGGGTCCAAATAATATAGCAAATCCAAACTGACATCACTACATTTTATTGTAATATATTATATGATTTTATATTATTTATTTTATATTATTATTATATTGTATTATTTTATATTATATTATACTATATTATAAAATAAACCGCAATATAGCGCAACTTGCTTCGGTCTCGGTAGCTCTAAACAAGTAGATATTTTATGCCTACCTCGATCATCTAATACCATGATATATTACTAAATTACATTTCATATTTAAAGAAGCCACGAAATTCGGAGATATTGTCAATCCGTCAAACCAATTATACGAAATAAAACAAATTTCAAAAGAAATAAGCGCAATTTCGCCATCATTTTATAAATCATAAGAAAAAAAAACAGTTGTTAAATTTGCAGCGTACAAAGGCCGCGCTTGATATTGACAGGAGATTGCTTGGCAAATGAAAGCCTCTAATGATTCAATATTTACCAATACTGAATATGTAAAATCATTCAGTGTAAGATTCCTAATAATCCAGTATTCTGCTGGAATCAACAGCCAGAGGATTAAATATAAGTAAGAATGCCAAGCGAAAAGCAATAGGCAGCTTTACACAAAGAATAATTAAGATTGTCCTAATAGCGACGCACTTTTTGTCCTAATGTGGGCCATTCTGACCAAGTTATGCTTGACGAAAGTGAAGTGATACATGAAAAAAAGGATCTCTATTTGGACAAAATGGCCCAATCGTTTTTTCACAGTGTCACTTCGATATCGAAGCACAATTAATTACCATTTGTAGCTAAATTAAGCGCCTATAGTTCAGATGTCCTCAAAATGTCTCATATTTTGCCTATATAGCACAATACACAATACCATTATATACACACTAGGAATCAAACTCGTAATCAACGTTGTTTTATTGTCATTCGCATGGAGGTGCACATTTTCTTTCCTCCAGCACGAGAAATATATACCCATTGCACAATATATATGCCCATTTGTTGGGCCAAATATGCCCATTTGCCGGGCCAAACTGGGTCAGGATGACCCATTCTTTATCCAGCCTTGGGCATGCTGAACACGACTGCACTCTAGTCAGGTTTGACTGTAGATCTACACTAAGAAAAATCGATGGGTATTTTCTACAAATAGTGACACACTTCATGGGTGAAGCACTGACACATCATTTCAAGGGCCAAACTCGGTCACCTAAGCAGAGGCAAAAAGCGCTTCACTATTTGGAAAAGGTCTCATTCATTTCTCTGAAGGTAAGGCTGCACACTACATAACATATTCTCTTGTAACAGCAAGGCCACAACATTTATTCCTATGTATCTATATAGTAATGAATTATGGAAGTGAGGAACCACAAGCTTACTTCAGTAGCATCATAACAACTACAAGAACAACAGTAGTGGTACTGCCTCATGCTTGTAGTTGCTTACTTGTAGTTGGCTACGATATCTTGGTATTGGCTGTTACGTAATGACTGAAAAATACATTCTGTACACGAGAAATAATATCTCGACACATGACAATTAAACTAAAAATTAGTAATTATTGGACATTAATTACCAAATATTGCAACTTTTAATGTGCCGCAGCTATGTTGGATTCCTCATTTTGGAGCGAATTATTCAGACCTGGACATGTTAGAATAGAGATGCCAAAGTAAAAGGCAATCAGAGCAATTTAAGCCTCAAAAGCCTTCTATTTCCGCATGCTAATCGCGCTGAGCTTTTACACCGCGCCAGGGAGGAATGGCAGGAATAAAAGAGCGATTTTGTTACCATGGCGTGGGTACAGGGGGCAACGACCCCCCGCTCTCTCTTGGCCCCTTACCCTCGTGTACTCATTGCCCCCCCCCCTCGTTGGCCCTCAAATAAAATAACTGCAACGAAGGCGCCTAGAAATAATGTGGAGCTCTGGCGTGGCCACCGGGAGCGCTTCACAGTTAATGAAACTTGCGCGAGGGAAGTGGTGCTGAGGGAACAGCACAACTGCGCGAGGGAACATCACAACTACGCGAGGGAACAGCACAACTGCGCAAGGGAACAGCACAACTGCGCGAGGGAACAGCACAACTGCGCAAGGGAACAGCACAACTGCGCGAGGGAACAGCACAACTGCGCGAGGGAACAGCACAACTGCGCGAGGGAACAGCACAACTGCGCGAGGGAAGCGGTGCTGAGGAAACAGCAAAAGAGGCTCTGAAAGAATACGGCACACAATAACTTGATTAATTCAGTAGAAATAAAAAGCAATCTTGTATGAAAACACAGCCAGCAAGATATACATCACCAGCAGTGAAGTTTAACTTGGACAAATAAAAGAATGTCTGAAATTTCTTCAATGATAAATGGTAATTTGCATCCGCAACTTTAATCTCTCAGATATATACAAGAGTTGCCACAAACGCGGAAGAAAACTGCAAATAAAAAAACATGACTTCCAGGTTATCTTTGGGGAAGTAAAATCAGCAATAGAAAAGCGGAAGCTCTAGCAAAATTTTTTCTATAGCCCGTATGTCTACAATTATTCTCTAAAACAAGCCTTACTTTTATTGAAAAAGTTTAGGATGATTTTCTCTGCCATCGTTGCGCGGACTGACTGCTGTATTTTATCAACGAAAATCCAGGTTATTTTGCTCATAAAACTTGAAATTAAATCTAAATTGAAGAAGAACCCACGTTTATTCACTTATTTTTACGTGACGTCTGATACAAAACTTCGAAGGCACGTTACGAACTAAGGAAAGGTGAGCACGGAAGGTAAAGGGAATAATGATTTCAGTGTAAATCATAATTAACTTCACAGAAAAAATCATAATTACCGTCGCTGCAGAAATCATAATTACCATCGCGGCAGAAACCATAATTACGTCGCTGCAGAAATCATAATTACCGTCGCGGCAGAAATCATAATTACCGTCGCGGCAGAAATCATAATTACCATCGCGGCAGAAACCATAATTACGTCGCTGCAGAAATCATAATTACGTCGCTGCAGAAATCATAATTACCGTCGCGGCAGAAATCATAATTACCATCGCGGCAGAAATCATATAATTACCGTCACCGCGCAAATCATAATTAACATCGCTGCAGAAACCATAATTACGTCGCTGCAGAAATCATAATTACCGTCGCGGCATAAATCATAATTACCGTCGCTACGGAAATCCCAATTACTGTCATCGCTGAAAAATCTTTGTTTGCAAAAGCTCTCATCGCTCGAGGCGCCAAATATCAAATAAAACAGCGTGCCTAGAAGTGCACAACGGGGCTTCCTATATTTCTATGCCTTTATGCCTAACGCCTAATATTTCTATGCCTTTATGCCTAATAAAGTTTTTGCCACGCACGATAAATTCCCGACAGCGGGGCCGACATTTTGAGGGCGCTGCCCCTGATGTCGAAGTTTGGCCGCCCTGCTTCAAGTTTTCCACGCCAGACGCTAAAAAAAACTCTACGTAGGCGCACCTGGAATTTTGCTTGTCACCGTAATAGGAAACTGCGGCGAGCGAACGGCCCCCGGATATTGGCAGGAACTCTGCGGGGTGTGGTGGTGAGGTGGTGGTGAGGTGGTGGTGAGGTGCGTATGGTGGTGAGGTGCCCCTGAGGTGTGTAGTGGTGAGGTGCTCCTGAGGTGTGTAGTGGTGTAATATTTTAATTCTTTTGCCTTTTTAAAAAGATAAACTTCGAAGTTGATCACAAGTTGTTCACCATTATATATAATTTTTATTAAATCTTCCGTAACTCGCCATTCCAGGCTGCCGTTTCATTTCACTATACTGCAAAAATTTCAGAAAAATTGAACTGCCACAAAATTCACTAATTGGCTAATGTTATAAATTCCGATAAATCAATTCACTACCCTATGGAATTCACAATTAATTGGTTCTTCCCATTGAACAGTGCTCCACATTCTAACTGGATTTTGAAGTAGATTTTTTTCAACAAAAAGGCGAGGTCACATCATATAATTAACTTAGAACTTCTGGCAGACTCGAGCTGGCAGCTCATGTGTGTTAACTCGTGCACCCGAAAAAATGAGTGAAGCTTTGTACAAAAACTGATGCCCTATTTCCTGTGCGTGGGTTATCCTGTTGGATGAGAGTCCCAATCGCACGGCCTAACTAGTGAATCTAGTTTGGCCAGGCAAAAGGAATTGTCAGTACGTCCACTCTCAGATTATGCTGTTGGTGGGAAAGTGTGTCACTATGCGAACAATATAATAACCATTCATGTTTTTGAGCGAGCGTTAGAATATTAGTGCATGAAAAGCTTAATCAGTGCCATATGAGTGCAGCGCCGTAGCCCTCCACTAAGGCTTGGTGTAAAGAAACGAAACTACAGAGGCTTAAATTGCCCTGAGATTGACCATTCGCTTCAATACTTAATTAATTGACAGACAGGCTGACCGCTAACGATTCACTAACACGGCAACGTTGACGGCAATGAGAACAAGAGAAGGACAAAAACAACGAGTTGCAGGCAGAGCATGTACCCAAAAAAATTAAGGGTGGCGCATAGATGATTATAGGCGGCGATGGTAGATTATTAGTGACGTAGCGGTGGATGGCCAGATCTGCCAAAAATCGACAATAAAACCCCAATAAATCGAGAAGGTGGCGGGTATAGGTGGCTGTCATCGATGAATCATAGATGATATATAGGGTCTGAATCATCGATGGCGCATTACAGGCAAATCTCTTGTAAGCCACCGATAACCGTTTGCCCAAACTGCACAGCGCACAAGGGAATTTGCTCCTGTGATTTATCCAACGTAGAAAC